GTACTGAACTGTTACGTAATATCAGTCCTCCTATAAATGCTGGACAATCTCCTCACAGATGAAGATGAGACTTGATACAACAGAAACAAAGAAAAGTGTACTGAACTGTTACGTAATATCAGTCCTCCTATATGGCAGTGAATGCTGGACAATCTCCTCACAGATGAAGAAGAGACTTGAAACAACAGAAACAAAGAAAAGAGTACTGAACTGTTACGTAATATCAGTCCTCCTATATGGCAGTGAATGCTGACAATCTCCTCACAATGAAGAAGAGACTTGAAACAACAGAAACAAAGATGAACTGTTAAGTAATATCAGTCCTCCTATATGGCAGTGAATGCTGGACAATCTCCAACAAATGAAGAAGAAAAACAAGAGAAACAAAGAAAAGAGTACTGAACTGTTACGTAATATCAGTCCTCCTATATGGCAGTGAATGCTGGACAATCTCCTCACAGATGAAGATGAGACTTGATACAACAGAAACAAAAGAAAAGTGTACTGAACTGTTACTTAATATCAGTCCTCCTATATGGCAGTGAATGCTGGACAATCTCCTCACAGAAGAAGTGACTTGAAACAACAGAAACAAAGGAAAGAGTACTGAACTGTTACGTAATATCAGTCCTCCTATATGGCAGTGAATGACAATCTCCTCACAGATGAAGAAGAGACTTGAAACAACAGAAACAAAAAAGAAAAGAGTAATGAACTGTTACGTAATATCAGTCCTCCTATATGGCAGTGAATGCTGGACAATCTCCTTACATATGAAGAAGAGACTTGAAACAACAGAAACAAAAGAAAAGAGTACTGAACTGTTACGTAATATCAGTCCTCCTATATGAGAGTGAATGAACAATCTCCTCACAGATGAAGAAGAGACTTGAAACAAGAGAAACAAAAAAAGAGTACTGAACTGTTACGTAATATCAGTCCTTCTATATGAAATGAATCTTCTCATTGAAACAACAGAAACAAAGAAAAGAGTAATGAACTGTTACGCAATATCAGTCCTCCTATAGGGCAGCGTATGCTGGACAATCTCCTCACATATAAAGATGTTGTGGATTCCGGGTTGAAATCCACAATTGAATAAATAACAAACGCCAGGAATGAATATATGAAAATAATGTATTAACGTAATAATACAAACTGGCAAAGCAGGTTAGTAGTTCCAGGAATACGGGTTAGTAGCAAAATATATATATACAGTCTTTGGTATTGAAGTATCGCTGTATGACTTCTTACTGAGTCTACGTGCTCGCTCACTGTGACTCCTACAACACTGTTACCTCACCCTCACTCTTCCGGTTACCTACAACCTTTTACTCTGTCACTCTGGACTCGACTCGACTCGACTCTTCGGTCTTGGTCTCATTTCGCTCTTGCAGTAGTATATGTATATACTGGGTGAGTTCATTTGTATAAAAAGGGGGTGGACCCCTTAACACCCCCTGCTTAGATCCCTTTTGGGAGAGGAGTTAGTATTTTTTTCTCTTATGGTCGATAATCAGAGGTTCGGTAAATTTTCTCTTCCTGTTTGACCTTCTAGTTTCTGTGTCTTCCTGTGGTCTTTGAATCTCAAAAGCTTCAAAGATTGCATCCATTGAATCGTCATTTTCAGCGGGTAACGAGCTTGGCTCTTCAACCCGTCTATTTTGTATTTCGTCAATATGTCTTCTGTGGGTAAACCTTTCGCCTTGTACTGTGTACATCACATTTCCTAGTCTGTTAATTATTGTGCCAGGCTCCCAGTAAGCCATATTGTTCCTGAACATCCTAAAGTAAACCCGTTCTCCTGGTTTAAATGATCTCTTGGGTACTATAGGTGTATGCTGCTGTTTCTTCTTGTTAGGCAATAACTTATCAAATGGCATGTTTCGCTTCTTTTTACATACTGGTTGGACATTTTCTTTTAATTCAATTCTAGCTGCACCCTTACAAAACGAACTGATAGGTAAATCCCATACGTCGAACTTTTGCATCCAGTCCGTTCCCACCAGATTTTCTGTATCTTTCATTACGAATATTTTGAGTTTTCTTGTTTTCCCGTGAAATTTTACATTTAGGATTACTTCTCCTTCGAATTTTATACGCTTTCCTGTAACAGACTTGGCAATTTTTTCTGTATGTAACATGGTTGGTCTATTAAGCTTTCTCCATGTCTGTAGGTTAATTATCGTTATATCGGAACCGGAGTTAAGTTGCAATTTTATCTTTTTATTTAAGATTTCCAGTTCCACATATTTCCTTATGTTAGTATTGTCTTCGTCATGCATTCTAGTAGCTCTTATCCTACTAGTAAATTTTCTGTTTGTACATTGCGATGCCTTGTGATCCATTTTTCCACACGCAAGACAGTTTTTATATTTAAAACGACAATCCTTATTCCAGTGTAGTCCTCCACATCGATAACATGCAGATGGGGGAGGGGCTTATATTTACTTTGATTTTCGTCATTATTTGCCTTGTACGTTGTACTTTTTTCATTATTATAGAATTTTTGTTTTCTTTCTGGGGAGGGTGAAAAACGTAAACCTTTGTTTAACTTACGTATATGTGGTACTCCTGACTCCTCAATATCCTTTGAGTCTTTCTTTATGCTCAGACATTTTTGGCAGTCTTCCGATAGTTTTTGTAGTGTTAGTCCCGGTTCATTTTGCAGTTTTGAAATCATTCTTTTGCGCATTTCACTATCTTTTGCTGAGACTAACCCTTGTACAAAAATAAGACACTTGAAATTGTCTGGAGTTAATTCTGCCAACTTGAAATCGTCGCAATGTTTATTCACGATTGCGGCGAACGTGGAATAGTCCTCATTTTCATCCTTTACGAGGTTAAGACATTTCCATCTTTTGTGAAAGAGTGACGTTTTCGGGTTGAAAAGCTCCGTAAGACATGTAACTGCTTCATCAAACGTTAAATCATTTGTCTTCTTTGGCAAAATATAATCCACAAATTTTGTGAATTCTTCCGCTCCTAATTTTCTGAGTAATTGCCGAAGTTTTTTTGCTTCTGTCCAGTTTTGACAATCGATATTGAAGATGTCTTCTTGCCGTCTGAAAAAGGTCCCCAAAATTTTTATCCTCTTCTAGGGAATATTTGAATGTTTCTATCGTGTTCCATACTGCGTCTTGAGAAAAAGTCGCCTCTTTTTCAATATTTTGTTGTTGTGTATTACTCGCTACTTTTACAATTAGTTCCTGGAGTTGTAATTGTCTTTTTTCATTTTGCATTTCTCTTTCATGATTTTCCTTCTGCGTTTGTAGTAATATTTTTTCCATTCTCTCTTGAAGTTGTAATTGTTGTTCATTTTGGTATTTTATAAGTTCTACTAAAATACTTTTAAAATCCTCCATGGTAACAGTCTTGCAAAAAAAACTCGATTTTCCGTATTTTAATCCTCGTAACACTTTGTTACCCAGTTGTTGTGGATACTGAAAAAACGGCAATTTTCTCTTTTGAGTCTCCGAGAAGTGCAAATTCTTGTCGCCCAAGCTGTTGTGGTGAGAAGAGAGAATTTTTTTCTTTCCGTGTAGGTCTCAATTTCTCGACACCAAGTCGTTGTGGTCGGCAAGGGAGAATTTTTCTTTGTACTCTTCCGGTGTGAGTTCGAATTTCCTCGTCGCCAAAGTTGTGGTCGACGAGAGAGAGAATTTTTTTTTCTTCCGTGTGAGTTTGAAGTCCTCGTCGCCAAGTTGACGAGGGAGAATTTTGTCTTTTTTGTTCTTCCCGTGTGGGTTTGGTATCCTCGTCGCCAAGTTGTTATCAACGAGGGAGGATTTTGTTGTTTTTTTCTTCCTGTGTGAGTTCGATATCCTCGTCGCCAAGTTGTTGTGGATTCCGGGTTGAAATCCGGTACCAATAAATAACAAACGCCAGGAATGAATATATGAAAATAATGTATTAACGTAATAATACAAACTGGTAAAGCAGGTTAGTAGTTCCAGGAATACGGGTTAGTAGCAAAATATATATAGTCTTTGGTATTGAAGTATGGCTGTATGACTTCTTACTGAGTCTACGTGCTCGCTCACTGTGACTCCTACCTCACCCTCACTCTTCCGGTTACCTACAACCTTTTACTCTGTCACTCTGGACTCGACTCGACTCTTCGATCTTGCTCTCATCTCGCTCTTGCAGTAGTATATGTATATACTGGGCGAGTTCATTTGTATAAAAAGGGGTGGACCCCTCAATAGAAGAAGAGAATTGAAACAACAGAAACAAATGAAAGAGTACTGAACTGTTGCGTAATATCAGTTCTCCTATATGGCAGAGAATGCAAGGCAATCTCTTCACAGAAGAGACCTGAAGCAACAGAAATCTGGTTCTACAGAAGGATGCTGAGAATAACACGGATTGCACACGTGAGAAATGACGAAGTTTTAGGGGAAATGAAAAAACAGAACACTTATAGTTGAATCAGAAAGAGACAACTGAAATTTATAGGGCACAGAATGAGGAAAGACGGTGTAGCAAATTTGAGTCGCATAGGGTATATAGAAGGGAAGAGGGACAGAGAAAAGCAGCGATTAACCCCCTACCTAACGAGCTTGTTGACAGAAAAAATATTCGAAAAGATAACAAAAAGTCAAAACTACAAAGGACATGAAGTTATGGAGAGCCATGATCTTTAAATTCATTCTCACTTCGCATACTTGGGTATCGTACATATGACTGAGATTAAGTATTTTCAGGCTACAAGAGATCTGCTGAAGATATTGAAATGGTAATGTTAGCCATTTCCTTATAAGGAAAACAAAGAACAAAAGAAAGAAATGTGGGATAGAAAGAAACAAAGAAAAGAGAAAAATTCGGGATATTAAGAAAAAGAAAGAAAGAAAGAAAGAAAGAAATGTGGGATAGAAAGAAAGAAAAAGGAAAAATTCGGGATATTAAGAAAAAGGAAGAAAAGTGGTGATATTAAGAGAAAGAAAGAAAGAAAGAAAGAAAGAAAGAAAGAAAGAAAGAAAGAAAGAAAAGTGCGGATATTAAGGAAAATAAATAAAAAAATAAATAAATAAATAAAGAAAGAAACAAAAAGGAAAAGTGGAGATATTAAGAAAAAAAAAGAAAGAAAGAAAGAAACAGTGGGGATATAAGGAAAAAGAAAGAATGAAAAACAAGTGAGATATTAAGGAAAAGAAAAGAAGAAAGAAAAGTAGTGACATTAAGAAAAAGAAAGAAAGAAAGAAAGAAAGAAAAGTGGCGATCTTAAGAAAAAGAAAGAAAGAAAGATAGAAAGAAAAGAAAGAAAGAAAGTGGGGATATTAAGAAAAAGAAAGAAAGAAAAGTGGTGACATTTAAGAAGAAGAAAGAATATATATTAATATTAAGAAAAAGAAATAAGAAATAAATAAATAAATAAAAAAAGAAAGAAAGAAAGAAAGAAAAAGTGCGAAGATACTGAAATAAAAGATCACTGCGTCAGACTGACGACAGTGGCATTCGGGTCTGGTCCAATTTGCAATGCATATAAACAGATTCTTCGGGCAAGTATTTCTCTCTGTAATAACTGTAATTTTCTTGCGACACCTGGTGGCAGAGTTACCTTCCTTACACTGACGGCGCAGGCGACAGTTGCTGATCCCAAATAGTGACGAAGCCGTGAGATGATATGACCGAAATTGTGAAAGAGCAGAACAGTAAAATAATAGACTGGAGTGTAGAGGCGGCTACTTAATAATGTATAGCTATTCGCTTGAATAAAGGCGATTAAGCGACGTGGCTCAAGTCTACGAGGTTTTAGAATGGCTACGTGGTTATATTCCAGGAATATTTATAACTGGCTTGTGTTTCTTAGGTGAGGCTGCAAGGAATTTAATGATGTCTGAATCATGTTTCGAACATGTTCAACGGGATTTAAATCTGGAGGGCGTAGAAAACAATAAAGAAATGGTTGGTAACAAAAAGAAAGAGAACAAAGATGCAAACCATAGAAAGAAAGAAAGAAAGAAAGAAAGAAAGAAAGAAAAAAGAAAGAAAAAAGTGGGGGATATAAAGAAAAACAAAGAAAGAAATCAAGAAAAAGAAGAAAAATTGGGGATATTAAGAAAAATAAAGAAAAGTTGTGATATTAAGAAAAGGAAATAAAAAAAAGATAGGAATAAAGAAATGGAGATATTAAGATAGAATGAGTTGTGATATTAATTAATTAATTAAGATAGATAGATAGAAAGATTGTGAAAATAGAAAGAAAGAACGAAAGCAGTGTAAGCAATGTTTGGGGACAAAAAGAAAGAACAAAAACGATAAAAGAAAAAGAATCAAGAAGACAGAAGATAACGATTGACATTACATTTACTGGGATTACTGAGTGTTAGAGAATATGAGAAAAAACTATATTAAGTGGAGAAGACATTGCATTTAAATTTTTGAAAAACAAAGGCAATAAAGCCACTAGGATGCAAGGGGTTACTGGGTGTTAGAGAATATGAGAAAAACTACTATTAAGGAGAGAAGAAAATAAAAGAACAAGAATTAAGAAGACGGAAGACAACGATTGATATTGCATTTAAATTTATGAAGATCACATGCAATAAATAAAGCCACTAAGATGCAAGGGGTTACTGAGTTTTAGATAATATGAGAAAAACTACTATTAAGGAGAGATGACAACAAAAGAACAAGGATCAAGAAGACAGAAGATAAAGATTGACATTGCATTTAAATATTTGAATAGCAAAGTTGACCGGAAGGCAGAAAAACGGAAGGGGGTTCCGTAAGCAAGAGGTACGAGAGAAGAAACTGCCAGCATAGAACTTACGGTTACATGTAGTCATTTCAACTGTAAAATGATGAGACCTAGCCGCCAATCTAGTACTGCGCGTGAAATTCATATTGTCTCGCAACCCTAAAGGAAAGTTCATCAGAACAATTACCATGAACATATTTATAGAAAAGGCATAATGAAATTACGTTTCGTGGGTAAGAAAGTGAATGAAGCCGAGATGCTAGGCTAGGTCAGGACAAATGACATTGCAGATTCTTTTTTGTATTTTATCAAAAATCTCTAAATATATAGCAGAAGCACCAGACCAGATGTGGCAGCAATATTCAAAGCGACGATGAATGGTAGACTTATAAATATGTAAGATAGATTCTTCTTTGGATTTTATCAAGAATCTCTAAATATATAGCAGAAGCACCAGACCAGATGGATGGTAGACTTATAAATGTGTAAGATAAATTCTGGCGAGAAAAATTGTCTAGCACGACACAGTGAACCAACTTTCCTAGCAGCAGATATAGCAATGGATTCAATATAACATTCCACTTCATGTCAGCAGAAAAGGTTACTAACAATCGTGTATTCTATCTTGCATTTAATAGTTAGTCCTTTTGTCTTTCTTTATTACCTTGTTTAACAGTTTCTGTCTTTGTGTACCAGTTTCCATGTAGTTCCTGTTCTCCTTAAAGCATTCTTTGTCACATCTAAGGCATTCTCAATCTTGGACTGTATAAACCACAACTCTTCCACTTGAAGTATATTCTTCACTTGTAACAAAATTGTCCAACATTCACAGGCATATATGAGGTTAGACATTATATAGGTGTCCAGCACAATTTGCTTTGTTTTTAATGTCATACGTTACTGCAAGACAGAGTTTCTTAAGGTAGGTTAGTATGTCATCATTACACACAGACACACAGACACCCCACCATATATATATATATATATATATATATATATATATATATATATATATATATATATAAATATATATATATATATATATATACAGGTGAAAAGACAGTGAAAAAAAAAAATAACAGTAATTGAGCGGGAGTGAATCGTACCCGTATCATCTATCACCATTAACAAAATGGCGCGTGACGCAGGGTGTTGATAAGCAAGCAGACGATACAATTTATTACGGAGCTTTCGCTCGAATCTGGGTGTCGGTTGTCAGCATTGTCAACGGCACTGCGTTATGTTGTCAAAGCGTATATTGGAGAACACTTTATTAATGGCTTTTAATCAGGCACAACCGGTGTTCTGGTCACAGATTGCTTTAGATATATGAGTTGGGATTTAAGATTTGATTAACGACTCCATACGGTTTTGTCTGGTTTCTATTTCTCTTTTATTGCTTTTTTTTTATACATACTTTTTGTTTTCTTTTCGTGTTTGTCTGATTTTTTTTTTATTTTGTAATTTTCCTACCTTTGTATTTTGAACTTTTTTCTTTACTCATTTTAAAATTCTCCTTTTTTTTTATTGTTTCGTCTTTTCCGTTCTTTTTGATTGTTTTTATTCTTCTTTCTTAGGTTTGCCTTTATTACTCTATTCGTTCATTCCTTTCTTTGTTCTTTCCAAATATTTTTTTTTATTTTAATCAAATTATCAACTATTTTAATTTTTTTTTCTTTATTATAGCGTCCCTTTGATCATATTTCCTCAAATACGTTTTTTCTTCCTCTATTTCCTTTTCGTTTATCTTTTCAGTCTTTCACATGCAAATCTTTTCTTTCTTTCTTTCTTTCTTTCTTTCTTTATCCTCTGTATTTTAGTCTTTCTTACTCTCTTCCTTTCTTTTGATTTGCATATACTCATTCCTTCTTTTTTACCCTTTGTAACTTTCCTTCATTCGTATGTTCGTTCTTTCTTTCTTTTTTCTTTCTTTCCTTCTTTATTTTTACATACAGTCTTCCTGTTATCTCTGTATTTTGGCTTTTCTTTCGTTCTTTTTTCTCTATATTTCTTTCTTTCTTTCTTTACCCTCTGTATTTTGACCTATCTTTCATTCTTTCTTTCTTTTGTTTTACATATAGTCATTTTTGCTTTCTTTCTTTCTTTCTTTCTTTCTTTCTTTCTTTCTTATCTGTATTTTGGCCTTTCTTTATTCTCTATATTTCTTTCTTTATCCTCTGTATGTTGACCTTTCTTTTTTCTTTCTTTTGTTTTTCATATAGTCTTTCTTTCTTTCTTTCTTTCTTTCTTTCTTCTCTGTATTTTGGCTTTTGTTTGTTTCTTTCTTCTCTATATTTCTTTCTTTCTTTACGCTCTGTATTTTGGTCCTTCTTTCTTTCTTTCTTTATCTCCGTCTCTTTCTCTTTCCCCGTTTCTTTCTTTTGACCATCCTTTTTTATTTCGTTTCTACATTCCTTTTTTTTTTTTTTTCTTCTCGTCTGTTCATTAAATTTCCTATATGTTTGAATGCTTATTACATTTGGGATGAATGCGTAACATGAAGTTAGAAAGCCTGAAACAAGTCTCGGAAGCAGATTACAACAAAGAAGAAGAAGAGGAAGAGGCGAAGTGATACATGAGATAAAAAGAGGGGGGGGAGAAATGTTGGGGTTAGTAGGAGGATGGGGAAAGAAGAAGAAAGACAGAAGATAACGATTGGCATTAGAGAGGAGGAGGCGGAAGAGAAGTAATACATGAGATAAAAGTGGCAGAGAAATCTTAAGGTTAAGTGGGAGCATGGGGAAGAAGAAGAAGAAGAAGAAGAAGAAGAAGAAGAAGAAGAAGAAGAAGAAGATACGTGAGATAAAAATGAGAGAGAAATGGTTGGGTTGGGTGGGAGAATGGGTAAAGAAGGAGGAGGAGGAGAAAGAGAAGTGATTCATGAAATAAAAATGGGAGAGAAATCTTGGGGTTAAGTGGGAGCATAGAAGAAGAAGAAGAAGAAGAAGAAGAAGAAGAAGAAGAAGAAGAAGAAGAAGGAGGAGGAGGAGGAGAAGAAGAAGAAGAAGGTTGATAGTCGAAAGAAATCGAAATATCTGCAGACGACAATCAATAGCGAAGAGAAGCAGACGTGTGTAAAAAGGATGACTTTTATTTGCGGAGCTGGAATTAATTCTTTAATTCTTTGGTTTGTTTACGTTTCGGTTACATAATTGAATAGATATGGCGTTTTGAGAAAAATATCTTAGTCAGGAAGTGTTCTTTCCTTAAATAGGAAAATAGAGCCTTGCTGTACAATGACACTCGTCGTGCCCGAGTGGTAAAGCGCACCAGATAAAACATGGATTATTCCTACAAAGGGAGAAGCAGGTTCGATTCCTACAGGAGAATGCGTGGTTGGAATATACTTGAAAACAATACCATGGGCTGACTTAAGCATTGTAGATGTACTTGGAGAGAGAGCATAATTTGGAGTGATTAAAATTTGAACAAGACTAGAACAAACAAACTCTCGGCTTTAGAACTGCTGAATTAGTCATCGTGGCCGAGAGTTTGAGTGTACTGGTCATGTTCTAATGTTGATCACTCAAAATTATGCCCTCTCTGCAAGATGTAATTAAGGTACACTCAGCATAGCTGTAGTATAAACCATAGGTGGGATCTGTAGGTGTTGAACAAATAAAAATGTGCCTGAAAACTCGGAAATGAGTAGCTGGTCGTTATCTATCTATCTATCTATCTATCTATCTATCTATCTATCTATCTATCTTTTCAGTCTCTATCTATGCACACACACACACACATATATATATATATATATATTCAGTCTCTTCCTATCTATCTATCTATCTACTATCTATCATCTATATATATATATATATATATATATATATACTTCAGTCTCTTCCTATCTATCTATCTATCTATCTATCTATCTATCTATCTATCTGCTTCAGTCTCTATCTATGCACACACACACACACACATATATATATATATATACTTCAGTCTCTTCCTATCTATCTATCTATCTATCTATCTATCTATCTATCTTCAGTCTCTATCTACACGCACACACACATACACACACACACACACACATATATATACTCCAGTCTCTTCCTATCTATCTATCTATCTATATATATATATATATATATATATGTGTGTGTGTGTGTGTGTATGTGTGTGTGTATGTGTGTGTGTGCTTTTTTCTTTATCTATCTGTCTGATGCAAGTACTGCCACATCTGGCCCCAGTCTTCACTTACCTTTCTTGATAGAATTTGAAAACAACTACACGGCCTCCTGGGTGATGAATTATTTTCCAATCTAAAACCCCTTTCCCAGAGAGACAAATCTCTCGTTGTTCTGTCGCTATTTCCATGGCAAGTGTTCTGACGAGCTACATTCCTTAGTTCCACCAGACCTGACTTTCACATATTCCACGTACGCCTGGATGAATCATATCCATTCCTTTTATATTTCCTTAGTAAGTAGCAAGTTCCAATCTGACAGCTTTTTTCCAAGAACTGCGGCTTTGTTGAACAGACTCCCAAAAGGTTTCTGTCTATATTTCTGAGATGAGGTATTATGTACATTATTTACATTATTCGGACTATTGTCCTTATCTTACGGACACATGGCACAGTGGATAAAGGCGTTAGTTAGATCCAGTGTCAGAACCCAAAGAATGTGAGTTCAATACCCGGTTAAGGCAGTGGAGAACTTTCAGAGGGAAATTAACAGGAAATAACTGATAACTGACATCCATTAAACATGGCACGTGGAACTAAAACAGTCTACTCCAGTGAGCGAAATAAAGGGTTCAGTTCGACATTCCAACCACCTGAAGAAGGCCGGAGAGTACAACAGCCGAAACGTTGTAATAAATATGGCGACAAAGATGAGGACAATAGTCCGGATAATGTAAATAATGTCCCCAAAATGTTGTTTTCCCGGTTACTATATCTTAACCTCTTCAAGTCTCCAGTTGTATGTTGTCTTTCCTACATAATCTTATAAATGGGACAAAGTAGAAAAGCTATGAACGACACGTTTCGCCGAGAGCTGATCTTATTCCTTCAGCTTTCTTGGGTTAGAAGAAGCTTCTCACCTGAATAAGGCGAAGAAAACAGACTTTCCACATTTTTTCAACATCACTTTTATTTCTGATAATATTATACATCCTACAAACACTCATAACTTTCCCTTAAGCTCATACAGCATCATCTACCTTAAGTGGCTCTTGGGTTTTGTACTGGGTGAACATTAGTCAGTCAGTTGTGTGCCATGCGTGTTATACGCGTAGGCGATCATGTATCTTTTGATACATCACTGACGAGGTTGGTTTCTTTCTGCGGTAGACCAGTTGGCATCCAAGGCTATAGAACCCGGTCTGTCCTGCTATTTACCCATAGATGGGGAGGGGGGAGAAGAAGAGGACTCATACCTTTCCCAAGTGAAGTAAGTGAATGTAATGGATGCGATTGGAATTCGAACTTGGCTTTCCGATTCTTCAAACCGAGCCGCTATCCATTACTCCACCGTGATTCCACCATTAGTAAAAGACAAAAATAACAGTGACTTAAATATCTATAAGGATAAAAATGTTCAATAGCTCGTCTGGCAGATCGTTACCAATGTTTAGCGGGTTCGATCATCACTGCATGCCCGGCTATTGTGGTTTGACGTCTATCTAAGTAGACAATCATAACTGCGTTTTGCTGTCCTGGGTAAGACGATAAACTACAACCGAGAGTAAGACCTCTGATCAGGAGGTTTTGAGGAGCGTGGAACCACCTCTTAATTGCTGGTATTCCCAGGTCCAGCCTGACCCGGGGTGGTAGCAACTGTTAGGGTCCCTGCTATGGGCAAATAGTTAAATGAAAGTGTAAAAATAGGTTTTAATACCAGAAATACATTTTTGTAAAAATTATTACCAGCAATGAATTTGTGAAGAAAAAAATTATTACCAGCAATACATAATTACCAGTAATACATTTTTGAAAAAAAGGAAAATATTTCCAGAAATATATTACCAGTAATAAAAATCTTGTCGTCATTAAATAACCTATTGAGGTTGATATGCCGTAAAACAAAATAAACCAAACCAATTTAAACCAAAGAATACATATTCTATTTATACGAATCTATCCTAAAAATGTTGTCGGCATTAAATAACCTATTGAGATTGATATGCCGTAAAACAAAATAAACCAAACCAATCTAAACCAAAGAATACATAATCTATTCATTCGAATCTATCCTAAAAATGTTGCCAGCATTGTGATTGATATGCCGTAAAACAAAATAAACCAAACCAATCTAAACCAAAGAATACATATTCTATTCATACGAATCTATCCTAAAAATGTTGTCGGCATTAAATAACCCATTGAGGTTGATATGCCGTAAAACAAAATAAACCAAACCAATCTAAATCAAAGAATACATATTCTATTCATACGAATCTATCCTAAAAATGTTGTCGGCATTAAATAACCTATTGAGGTTGATATGCCATAAAACAAAATAAACCAAACCAATCTAAACCAAAGAATACATAATCTATTCATACGAATCTATCCTAAAAATCTTGTCATTAAATATCCCATTGAGGTTATTGATATGCCGTAAAACAAAACAAACAACCAAACAATTGCATTTTACGGACAGAATACATAATTTTTTTTTTTTTTTTACCTTTAAATGTTGCCAACTTGCGATTGATCGATCGTAAAAGAAAATAAACCAAACCAATCTAAACCAAAGAATTCATATTCTATTCATACGAATCTATCCGTAAATTTTTGAATTAAACATCCCATTGATCATCTTCTGCCTAAAACCGTCCAAACAACTAAACAATTGCATTAATTACGGACAGAGCAAATCATATTTTTTTTTTTTTTTTATCACTTTGGTGGGGTCATTATCACTCTTAATTGCATTCCGCTCACCCTTCCCATTCCGTGTCGACAGGATGAGACAAAGTGTGGACACTTCCTTTTGAATTGTGACTCTGCAAAATCATTCCATTATACCGTTCGACGTTACTCATTTTGACCAGAATCCGTAATTAAATGAACATTGACTTTCTTTCTATGCGCCGTGTCCATTCATCGATTTGGTGGCTCTCCATCACCTTTCTTCCATTCCGCTTCCTCCCCAGACCATTCCTGTGTCGAAGTTCTTAAGCCCAGGGAGTCACGCATTCTTTTGCCTTGCTCTTTTATTCTATTCGACCCGTTCGACGTCACTCATTTTCCAGGCCCACCTTCCTCATCCGTCCTTTTTTTGAACATTGACATTTCTTTTTCAGGACGTAGCCGATCATGTCCATTCAGGCTATCCCTTGGCTCTCAACAAGTTCCTTCCCTCTGCTTCCTCCCCCAGACCACGTTCTGTCATCGACTTTCTTAAGCCCACCAGGTATGTCACGCATTCTTTTCCCTTGTCTCTCTTTCCCTCTATTCGACCCGTGAGTATCAGATTCTCCAGGCCCTCCTTCCTCATTATGTGTCCTTTTTTTTCCTTTTTATGTGCCATGTTCTTTTCAGGACGTAGGCGATCATGGCTCTCCACTTTCCTCTATCCCTTGCAGCTCTCAACAAGTTCCTTCCCTCTGCTTCCTCCCCCAGACCACGTTCTGTCATCCACTTGCTTAAGTCCTCCAGGAATGTCATGCGTCGTTTTCCCTAGTCTCTCTTTCCCTTTATTCGACCCGTGAGTATTAGATTCTCCACGCCCTTCTTCCTCATTATGTGTCCCAGGAACTTCAGCTGCTTTTTCCTGATGTTAAGTATAAGCTCCCGTGTTTGCATCCTCTCTAAGACCTCATCTTTGTTTACGCGCTCGGTCCCTGATATCCTCAGCATCCTTCTGTAGAACCACATCTCCGTGGCCTCGAGTCTCTTTTTCATCTTTGAGGAAATCGTCCAACATTCTCTGCCGTAAAGAAGGACAGATGTCACGTAACAGCTCAGTATTCTTTACTTCGTTACCAAAGAAATCCTCCTGTCTCGCAGTACTCTGTCCAATTTTTGGAATGGCTCTTTGGCTATCCCAATACGTCTAGAAGTTTCAGTGTTGTATTTACCGTCCCTCTGTCAGAACGCTTCTTAGATATTTAAACATCCGAGGCTGCTTGCTTGATTCTAGTGTTCCCAACCCGTAAATCTCATTTCGGGCTCATCCTTTTACTGATGACTATGCATTCTGTCTGCTTGTAATTTATTGACATTGTACTGAAAAGAATAAAGCTGTTGTTTCATAAGCGCAGATCTTGTTTAGCGGCATATCAACAACTCTATAGGTTATTTAAGGCCGAAATCTAAATATTTTAAACACAATTTTATGACTTCAACAAAAGATATTTTGAACGCAATTGTATGTCTTCAATTACAGATAAAATATATTGTTGGTCATTTTGCTATAAAATGTATTGTTGGTCATTTTGCTATAAAAATATATTGTTGGTCATTTTACTATAAAAATGTATTGTTGGTCATTTTACTATAAAAAATGTATTGTTGGTCATTTTATTGTTTGTTGTCATTTTACTATAAAATGTATTGTTGGTCATTTTACTATAAAATGTATTGTTGGTTTTACTATTTTATTGTTATAAATATATATTTGTTGGTTATTTTCTATAAAATATATTGTTGGTCATTTTACTATAAAAATGTATTGTTGGTCATTTTACTATAAAAAATGTATTATTGGTCATTTTGTTATAAAAATATATTGTTGGTCATTTTACTATAAAATGTATTGTGGGTCATTTTACTATAAAAATGTATTGTTGGTCATTTTGCTATAAATATATATTGTTGGTTATTTTTCTATAAAATATATTGTTGGTCATTTTACTATAAAAATGTATTGTTGGTCATTTTACTATAAAATATATTGTTGGTCATTTTACTATAAAAATGTATTGTTGGTCATTTTGCTATAAAAATATATTGTTGGTCATTTTACTGTAAAAATGTATTGTTGGACATTTTGCTATAAATATGTATTGTTGGTCATTTTTCTATAAAATGTATT